AGAAGGGTCGTTAATGTCCGTCATTGGTTAGACTACAGACTATCAAAAACGAACATGATATTTTTGTTCATAGTGATGTCAAATATAAGCAAAACATCCATACTTCGATGCATCACCAAACGTTTTTCGATGTCTAAGAAAATATCGATGTATTAAATATGATGAAACATTTCAAAGTAAAATGTCCTGCTTCTAATTTGATACACGTTAATATTAGTTTAAAGGATATTCTGCCTTAAATTTGATTTCATTTATTTCTATGAAAACTATTTCGTGCCGATTGGGGATCGACAACAGTCAAAGTTGTCAATGGCTATCGATTGCGAGCAATCCACAAATAAAATACAAATAGATACTGAATATGTTATTTATATTGTGGGTGTTTTTTAACACAACGATTCTGGACAAATGCAGTCGACTCCGGTTACAATGAACTCGGATATAGTAACCTCGGTTAGAGTGAATGTAGAAAATATGTCCTGGAAATTAATTATATATAAAATGCATCAGAGCCACTATTTCCAACTCTAGGCAGGTTTGAAAAAATATCGTCGGTCAAAGATCTTAATTCAAGAAGTCTTTCGAGTAATGGAGGTGCTGGAAATGGCGTAATTTTTTATTCAGCGATCAGTTTCATTGGCCGCATGCGCCAAGCCGCTACCGAAAGGGTGTTATTAGGCGAGTAAAACGGCTTTCGGAAAGTGGAACAGGGTTCCAACATTTCAAGACGATTTAAAGGAGATCCAGACTGCATTATTGGGACGATACTTGGAGCCAGTGGACAATGCAGAATCACGTATGGAGAGAGCATCAACTCGAGAAGGATCTAGATAAATTACTAATAAAAAATGTACGAAGTAAACAGTTGAAAATAATTGATTTTTTTAAAGGTCAAATAAAGATATTGAAATTTTCAGTTGATGCTGTAAATGTATTTTGCTGTATCTCTATATTAATAAACTCAGTAATTGTGGAAACATTCTATTTAATTTTGGTATCATCGGATATAGTGAACCAAAGATGTTGGTTCCCAGAATTTCACTATAACCGGAGCCGATAGTTTGTCGATCTGAAGCGAAAGCCAAACATCGATGTTGTAATATGGAGGTTTCTGCTGGAAAATATCGATGTTCTGAAAACATGGCTGTTTCTTTTGCCGTCCGTGGCCGCGTGTCACTTGCTTCCTGCGCCTGCGCGTTGTGGGTGCAAGCCACGTGCGGCTGCGCGGCGCGGCGCGGGGCGGGGCGGGGCGGGGCGGGGCGGCGCGCCGTTGGAATGCAGCGCGGGGCCCAGCGGCCGCGGGGCTGGCAGCGCCTCCCCAAATTACGTGTGACGAATGCTGAATAATTCCTGCTGCCGCGGCGGCGCCTGCCCGGCCCGGCCCGGCCCGGCCCGCGTCCCGCCTGTCGCCGTGCGCATCCGCGCGTGTTGCGTAACGCGCGCGTGCGGAGTGCCGGCGAATGCGCGACACGGCGTGAGGTTGTCGTGGAGGATAATAATTGCGAGTGCGTGGGCGGTTGGGGACAAGCGCTTCATGTCGCGAATGAGAAAGGGATGCTTCCATCCTACGCGGAGATGTCAAAAATAATGCTTGCGTTTTTATTTCTTGGCGAGCGAGGCTTTGTCTTCACAGTGGAATATTTCACGATATTTCGCGTCTTCCTCGGTCGTGCCGCTAGATGTCGCATGATAGCCGGCACTGCTCAACACGGTCGCGATAATGCGACATCTCGCGTTAAACGACCGAGAAATACGCAAAATGCCGTCAAATATTCGCGCATCGTGAAGACAAGACCTCGCGCGCCCAGAAATAAAAACCTAAGTATAGGCGTATCTTGCTGGTTTTGCTGTTGTGTTATTGGCACATTTTGTGTGTGAAACATATTCGAATCTTAATTGCTTGACTTGATCTATCTGCTTGGTTCGAACAAAGAACAAATGAAATAAATGAGTTTTTGATCACATTTGTCGATAGAACTTGTATCACTAAGCTCCTGTTCTGTAATTGAAGCTTTCTTATGGATCGATCCGTTGGGACTGTGCGCCTACGAAATGGGAAGGCGTGCATCCGTGTATGGCCGCAAGCATTAAGCGCAGAGCATTATGGGCTGACTTACCCTTATATACGATTATTATTCTAATATTCGGTTTCCAATCCGACTAATCTTTCGTGGTCATTAGTACTCCTTTCGCTGGTTGTGTTGTGATTCGATTATCATTTTAGACCAGCGACTGAAAAGTTGCTGAATAGTATATTCTTCAACGAGCGTAGAATGATAGCTATTATTCACGAGTTGAAGTTTACGACACCAGCGACGTAGGAGCGAGTCTCGGAATTTCTTCGAGTGAATAATATTGAGTGGAATAATATTGCGAGTGCAAGACTATGCTTTGTCTACGACTTTGAAATTGATGTTTTCAAAATACTAAATGGGCGCCTTAACCTTATAGAACAACTACAGAACACTCATTGTTTTCTGATCCTAAGAAGCACGAATTCGCATACCGTTTCGTGGTTCACCTGTCGTACGGCAGTTGCGCGGCGGAGCACGCAGAGCCTCTGTAGGCGACTGCGAGAATCCTCTGTCACGTTGTAATGAACCAAGATGGATATAATTGGTAGACGGCCGAATATTATCCACATACAGGTTGTGTCATCGTCATCATTACTGCATCCGCTAACGTGCTGAAATGCATACATTCTGGAGTAGTGGAGAAATTTGTTTGTATTACAATATGGATGCAAGTCAGAAGATAATTTATTGCAGCAGTTGAATATTAATTGTAAGAATTGTGTTCGGATAGTTCCTACTTGCAGTTAGAGCTAAAAGCACCGTGAGCAAAAAATGATTGCCGTAATAATTACGAAGGCACGAGTAATGGGTCAGGAAAACCTTTCATCTTCTGCTACTAGTTTCCTGTAGTGCACAGAGCTTTCTGGAAGAACTTTCTTACGCTTCTCGTTTTAGTGTTTAATCTTCCCCCAATTGCAGAGCTATACTCCTCATTTCGTGAGATAATCAATGAACGATTATGAAATAAATCACTGCATTTGTTCCTACAGAAAACAAATGAAGCAATAGCATGATACAAACCGCGCGTCTAAACGGATAGTAAATACATCAAGGCATCGGAATGGATTTCTTTCTTTACTTTACTTCTGGAAATGTTCCCTGATACTTTTGTACTTCGCTGTGGTTAGCTTCAGCGTCTCGCTTCTCGCGTGAGAAAATCATCACCACGTAGCCTGGTTTGATGATATGGATGATGTTCATTGATGAAGGAATTTACTGATTTTTGCAATCTTGATAATTATTAGAGGACGAAATACATTTCCATTGAATTGCATTTCGAAATTCTGTGCCATGCGGTCACTTTTGAAAATATTTCTTTATTATTTATGAATCACATTTCGAAATTAATTTATAATGCGTTATTATATGAGTAATTTATAATAATCAATACTGTAACATCTATGAAATCTCAATATCAAAATCAGCAGTTCACAAACCCAGAAACACAATCGTAACATATTCTGAAACACCGCGGGGTATTAAGTAACAAAATAATAAATACTGTGTAATTTTTAATTATTTTTATTCCATTTGTTTTTGTAAAATCAAAACGAAATCATGTTAGATCAGGACAAAATTAATTTTTTTCGCCGCCGCCTGAAGCGCCCCTAACAGTACTTTTAAACAATTTTGTACCATACAATAATTAATAAGCATCTTTAACATCTGAATAACATATGCATGTAATGTTCAAATTAAAACGCAAGTATGGAGCTATTCGCAAGAGCAGAACTATGGCATTGTGTCGTCAAAAGATCCCTAGTATCGAGTGCTTCGCATTCACCGTATGCCTTCGGCGGCCTTGTTTCCATTCATTGCTTGTTGCGGTTTTCCAAAGAAGAAGCGCGTGTGCTTTCAACGCGAATCCGGTGGCGCGAAGCTGCCATTGGAGCATCCTGTGCCTGTGCGTTCAGCCGCCGTGCGTCAGCGGGCTGCGGGGGCGGTGGGCGGCGTGTGAGGAGGGGAGGGGGAGGCCTGACGTGAGCGCGTGGCTTCGCGCGTGCAGGTGGCCAAGGCCGCGGCGACAACGCAGGCCCCCGCCTCGCTCCGCCGCCCGCCGACCCGCCCCTGCCCTTGAAGTAACCACCGGCACTTTGGAGCAGACCCATGCACGCCTCCAATGACGAAACTATGAACCGCCGGTCGTCGATGCCATTCTATCGACGTCGTTGACCGGGAGATCTTAAGAATTGGGAATTCTGACAGTGGCAGTTATCCGAGACTCTAGAGGGATTATTTATTTTAAGAAGGGACTGCTTTGACAGCTTCTGCTGGTAGCAGTACTGCAGGTTTTGTTCATGCACTCTTTTGTCAGTGCGTTCGTTTACAGTTAGCTCACTTGCCAATGCGTTTGGCACAACTTCTCGCAATGCCATCGTCCAACATGACTTAGTTTTGTTTCGCAACCTGTCAAACTGGTCCTTTCTTAGGATAACTTCTCTCTACCCTGTAGCTAGGTCGAGTTGAAGAGCTGTCTGGAGAGAAATTCTAGCGGCCGGCTACTCTGATCGGTAGTTTTCCACAAACTTATCGTCTCCTCTCCCCCTACTAACACAAACGTCTACTTACATACGTCATTTCATTACGCACGTTATATCTCTCTAAATATTAAAAATCGATTTAGCCAACTGAATCAAAGTATTATTTATTAATTTAATATAAAGTGTTTAAACACGAACGAAAAACAACGACGCGACGTTTACTTCTTACTAAAGCATCATGAATTTAAAAATAAACTGATATTGTCTCTGAAGCAATAATTGGAATGTAAGTTTGTACTACCTTAAATTGTGATTTTATGACCGTTGGAGATAATATTGTGGAGATAATTCCAAAACTTGTCTTCCCTACGTTAGTATGTATCCTCCCGATGTGGTTTTTAAAAGCGTGACGGCGGGCGGCGTGTGTTGCAGTGGGCGGGATGAGCCGGCCGCCCAAGGCGACGCCGCAGGTGAAGAAGGTGCCGCCGCCGGCCGTGCCCGACGTCTTCCGCCACTCGGGCTCCTCCTTCGGCTCGTCGGCCTCCGCGGGCTACAGCAGCGCCGGCGAGGAGGGCTTCCTCACGCCCGCCGCCGACGCCGCCGCCTCGCAGCCCAGAGGTAGGGCGCGATGACTGCCTCCCCCCCCCCTCGCCCTTTCTCATATCCCCCATTTTTTTTCTCCACTAAACCACCTACCCCCTTCAGCCACACACCACTTGAGACTAAAGCTGAGAACCAGAACTGGCGACAGTCTCAACTAACACACTTATGTTGTTTTGTTGTTGACCGTTGTCATCTGTCGGATTGAGAACAAAATTAATTTTTAAAATAAATAATTTTTCATGTAACCTGTGAACATCGAGATTTGTTTCCTAAAGAAAGTATGTTCAATTTGTGTACTATAATATGTTGTTTCGTTTCCTGATTATTATTAATTTTTACAATCCAAGCATATTTTGTTGTTCGCACACTTGTACAATTTAACTTTAAATATCCTATTGTTGTAGTGTGTTTCTGAAAGGTGAGCATTTTTATTGTGTGCGTCTTTTACCCCTCTCTCTACGTATTCATAATTTGTATAAATTTGTAAGTTGATTTGGGGACCCTTGGAAAATGCCTTCCGTTGTTTGAATATTTATTTCGTTAGGAGGATGAATCTAATAAAATGTGTTCACAAATATTCTGCATTACTGTGTAAAAAATATGTAATAATAGAAAAGTATTGTTAAAATTATTATTTTTTATAAACGACTATAGTTTTTAAAGCCTGCTTGAAGTTTCTGCTTAGTACATCATTAGAGTGTAACGTATTAACGAGCGAACCTCGTAGCAGCTATTCGGGTTGGGAGCGCTCCCGCGATCAGGGGATAGCAGGTCTATCAGAGCTAGGGAGTAAAGTGTAAATTCATTGTAAATATTTGTTATGTTTTCCTTGTAAATAAATATTTGTTATTTAAAAGTTCGTGTTTGTGTTCGCTGTGAGTATCCATGACGTCACAATAGCTCGTCCACTCTTGGCATTCAGAATTTCAAACTGATAATAAAAATATTTTCTGGTTACTTTATCACTCCAAAAACCACGTTCGTGCATTAGTGTAGCTCAACTGCAGATGTCGCTTTAATGTGACCTTTATAGAACTATTATCTCACAAAATACTCGATCTCATTTTGACCATAAAGGCTTCTCCTACCTCTCTCGTACTCGGGAAATCGCGCATTACTCCCTACTAGCGACTTCGCTGCAAACGCAACACAATCGTGGAGCTGTCCTGATAGCGGGCAGCGAGCGCGAACCGTGATGTCATAATACGCCCGTTTTGCACACTCGTCCAGTTATTACGCTCGCTAAACGTCAAAACGGCGGCTTTTTACGGCGACGCGGAATTAAATTTGCCTCCGGACGAAATCACGTTGCACAAAACAAATCCGGATTTAGAAGTGTATAATTAATTCGTGTTTAATTATTTTTAAATGTTTCACTGTTATAAAAAGCATCCAGTTGGAAAACGCATGTGTTTCCACGTGCGAGTCGCTGAGGCGGAAGTCGTGGCCGCGGGTCCCACTTCAGGTTCAACGACTGCGTTTCATTGTCAATCAGAACTCGACAGGTGTCCGCCTGCTGGCTTTTTCAAATGCGATTTTTTAAATGTTGAGAATTAACACAAGCCCATATGGTATTGTGTTAAAATAGTTTGCTCGTATAAATAGAGAGAAATTATGGGTACTCGTTGAATGCAATCCATGTGACGAAAATTGGAACGGTCTATAATCATAATTTATATATTTATATATGCCATGTAGTAATCATATCATAAAATGTACAGGGATTTTTAGTAAGGTATGACATGTCAGATAAGACATGTACACTGTAGTGAAGGAGTTCTCTTAGAGTACTTACTAATTATTATGAATAATTCTGGTGGAAGCAGTATAAAATATTTCTGGTTTTAATTTGCTTATGAACTTCTTGTCAGTGGAAGGAGACATATCAAGGAACTAATTAATGAATGTCAATTATTGCGCTTTATAGACTTAACACATACTCTAGTAACTTGTTGGCATTGTGTTATTAATAAATCAGTTCTCAGAAGTTTATTTTTAATTATCATCGTTTATTTTTACTTAATTATCATTGTTATATGCATTTCACGTGTAACAATGCGATGTACATGATATTTTACAAGTTAGTTAGCAAAGTGCATATGTAATTTTTTCATCAACAAAACATCCTTCAAATACTGGAATGACAGTGTGAAGAAATCATAATTAGTGTTTGAAATATCTATTTCAAACAAATTAGTTACAAATTAGTTTAATATTTGAGGGAACATTTGTTGGAAATCCAGTAAAAATTATATTTTTGTCGAAGACTCCAAGATTTTCTCTGGTACATCGTCAATAAAATCTTCAAAACTTCTTGTGGACATTTGAAATTATTCTGACAGAGTCGGGAGAAAATACCATTTCTATTTTGTCGGGATTCAATGCGTCGCAATATGCGTAGCTATTGCTTTCGATTCGCTCTGCACGCGCGCCATCTCCGTTCCTCGAGGTGGAGGATGGCGCTTGGCTTCGCGATTGTTGGGTCGTCTACAGGTGCGTGGGCAGGGCGCTAAAATGCAGGGCCGCTTGTGAAACGAAATTGAATCTGCCCAGCGTGAAATTATTTCGAGGAACAAATGGGCTACACAATTGCGACTGTCCCCGCGTTTAATAAAATTTAATTGAAAATCCCTGTGCGGTTTTTGAAGAAGGCGCAATTTGAGCTTTCAGGCTAAATTTATCCTAGCGAGGGCTTCCGTTCATTGTGAGTACTAATGCATGCTCTGTACTAATATTCATTGCTCTGAAGTAAATGGGACAAAGAGAAACGCGAGCGAATTAAAATTTGATAAGGATATTCTGGATATTCTGACTTGAGGACTGAATGAGATGTCCGCGATATTGGTGGCAGTAATAAAAACGAGATCTCTACTACGTACATTGCAAATGTATATTGTATTGTACTTAATACATGCCTTTGTATCTGTAATCCTCCGGCAGTTCTAGAGGGTTACCGTGTTACCTGCCAAGTGCCTCAATCATATCACCTACTGTGGTCCACGAGTCGATGTATTGTGTTCTTACTATATCTTCCAAACGTAGCCCGTCGCCCGGTTTTACCGGTGGAGGGAACGCATGGTCGCATTGAGATACCGCCAGCTGTGACCTGGAGTCCCGGACCTTGTTGGCAAGGCTAACACAAAACCAATATACTTTCTTTTTCGACTTCAGTTTGCGCAGGTTGCGTTTGCCTTTGCTTCATATGCCATTAACCACGATCCGGACAGCAGAAAGAAACACTTCAGGAGAGAGGAATGAAGATTCAATAAGCGCACACTTTGTTGAGCCATCCTTTTGCATGTGCTGGTAGGAGTAGACCGGGGGTGTAACAATTTCGTTAGGAATGCAAAAAAATGAAATCTGCAGGTTGTTTACCGATGCACATAACAGAGTTCAATAAGTCTGGAGAGAAAATGTTTAGTTTTTCAAATGTTCCCAACCGTCGCTTTTTTAAGTTTTGTTTTGTTTTTGTTTATTTTATTTCATTTTATTTTTTAACTTTTATTCATTTTTCAACTATTGATTAAATGTTGGGAAGAGATTCTGGAGCTTAAGAAAACTTACGCAGATTATACTTCTCCCCCTTACGTCACGTACAGTTTGTATTGTTCTTTGACTAAATAAATCAAATTACGCACGTGACGCAAGTTCCGGGTGACATCCCTTGGCAATGGCGGTAGCACACGCTTGCGCTCGCGGGCGCGCCTCTTTGGGCGCTTGAGCGCGTGGGAGGCGGCGGCCGGGCGACGGAGGGCGTTAATCGAATTGAGGCCCCACAAGGTCCAGTTTGGGGCCGTGCGTAACGAGGCGTTCCCTTCTTGAGCCAGGAAGCCTCTCCAGAGCCCCGATGAATCCACCGAGAACATTCGTTCCGGGGAGCTGGCTGTAAAAATACCCGCCTGTAATGCTTGTTTGAACACATTGAGGTGAAGTTATATAGGAGAGTATATAAAAAAAAATAATTCACTAAAATTGAAAATAAAGCGCGCCATTGAATTTTAGTTAGAAAAACTGTATTTAAAGGTTTGTCTACCAGATTTTATTCAAATATATATGACGAAATATTTTTCAAACACGCAGACGCTTTTGCTAATTTCTCATGTCTGTCATTGAAAATGTTGCATTGCCATGAAAGACTTCACCCCTTTTCCCTCAACGACGGTTATGGGCGTTCTCGAAGAAGACTTGACTGTTTCTTGCATTTCCATTTCTGTGCTCGTTCAACGACTCAGTTGTTTTCTCTTTTTGTTTTTTTCAAAAATACATACCTTTTTTATTAAGAACTCATAATGAATTGGATTTGCGTGTTCGAACGTCAGAAAAACTTTACGAAGATACGATATGAAGACAGTAAAAGATACAGAATTTATGTCTTTACTCATCAAGAGATCATTGAAAGAAAACGCAAACTTAGTAATTTCCTTTCGACTTGTGACGTTCGAAGTTTTAAGTCTTTTATCTTTCAGTGAGTGTAATTTTTAATCTATTTCTTCATTTTATCACTTGAATTTCATTTTCTTAATCGCCTTTTGTTTCTTTTGCTTTTTTCCTCTCCCTTATAATACCTATTTGCTTTACGCGTTTGTACGCTTCTTTCCTTCCTCCCTCCCCCTTCCCCCGTACTTTGATGTGGTTTGGCCGCTTATCCAGCCCTCCCGTCCGCCATGTCCTCTTGACTGCGCGTCCCTCGGCGGCCCTTCGCCACTCGAGCGGGGCGCCGCCTGGTGGCGCCACCGCAGATTACATCTGAGCCAATATTGGGGAAGGTCCGCGCTGTTGTCTTTTCATTTCTTCGAGTGGCGCGGTGACTCAGGCGAGGGCGGGCGACGCGACGCGACGGCGGGAAGATTCACTTGGAGGGCCGAGGACGGGGCGGGGCGGGGCGGGAAGGGCGACGACGCTGACGCCGTCCGCTGGCCGGGCGATGAGGGCCCCTTTCAGCTGAACGCCCTCCCTGCCTTTCCACGAGGACGAGGACTCGGTGGCTCTTAAAGGGGCGGGGGAGGAGTGTCGGA